GGCTTTTCCCTTTTGCCGCCCCTCCCGTAGCCTACCTCGGAGCGAGGGAAGTCTTGAGGTGCGCGTGTTTGCGGTAAACTCTAGAAACACAAGCCGCCTGCAAAAATTACAGCGCGTAGTGGAAGCATTAGTCTTCTTTAGGGGTGTTTTGAATATTACTTGACAATTTTTTTCTTTGCAGAAATAGTGGAATTTCAAAAAATAGTGGGTAGCTTAATTGAACTTGTTGATCAACTGGCGAAAGCTGCTGAAACTGAGAAGATGAAGGTACTGTGCAATTAATTACCGGCTTGTCGTGAACTCTACTCTGCGCTGCGCATGAAAAACCAGATCTCTCCCTTCCTCCTTTTACAGCATACGCAGTCTCGTTCTGTCAGTCTCGTACAGGCGTTTCTGTGGTAGTTAACATCTGTCTGTCTGCAGTATGAAAGCATGGGGTTTTTTTTAATTGATATTAATGTCTAGAAGACTTTTACAGGCACACTCGGTGTGTCGTATGACTCCTGCTATGTTTAACAGTCCTACTGTTGCTGCTTATCTGTGTATTAGCACATAAATAGAACATGTATTTTTTAATCGCTCCTTCTACTAGTAGACCTTTGTTCTCAAGAGGCGTGAGAGGCTCTGTGAGGAGGAGGAGGAGGGCTTTCTAAAGACCAGATCAGCAAATAGCTCTTTGGAATTTCCTTTATGTATTTCTACGTGACACCAAGCGGTGTGGGTTTTTTACACGTTATTGTGGAAACAGAAATTGACGTTTAGCACAATTGTAGGTAATTGCTTTTTTCCTTACTTGTTCTGGGGGAAAAATTGTAGCCAGAGCTTGTCTGTCTGTAGGACCAGTCACCGATGATCAGTTTGTATTTCCAGGGGAGTCAGTGACTTTTGTTCCTTGAGTGTGAAGGAAGTCTCAAATGCCTTAATCTGCCCAACCTCTACAGGGACTGTTTGGCTGTTCCACCAACCATTGAGTATTCAGGTGTCACCCTCCTTTATTGTTAGCGTGGCTGAAACACTTCAACCTGCTAGTAGTGAAAGGGGTTAAAAAAAAATAAAAAACCCCAGTACAGCTACATCACTGACCGTCCCGTTTTGGCAGGCCATTGGTGCACGGAACTTGCTGAAGTCTATAGCAAAGCAGAGAGAAGCTCAGGAACAGCAACTTCAGGCTTTAATAGCCGAGAAAAAGATGCAGCTGGAAAGGTAAGTTTCTTTTACATACTTCTGGGGCATTATGTAGGCTGGAAAGTCAATCTTGCCATCCGTGCTTGGCTGCAGGATACGGTCTAAGCTTGTTCAAACAGCCCATCTGCAGTGAAGGTGTGTCCTCCCGCACAAAGCACGCGCGGGACGGTGCGGAGCCACAAGCCTAGAGTTAACTTAAGGCCCTGTCGGCCACTCCTCAAGACGGTTCATCTCTGATGACTTTGTGGCTAAATAAACAGAGGCGGCATGAGATCATGCAGTTGAACAAGTGAGTAAAAGCGTAACGCAGCGCCACGTGCCTGACTGGTAAAGGTGCTTTAGAACTGCAAAGTCTAACTCGCGCAGCCACTGCTTTGCAGATGGCTTACGCATGTAGCCTAACTTTCCTTCGCCAGAGACCAGTGAACGTTGGACTAAACCATCCAACACGGGCTGGAAGCAGCTGGTAACCATTTGTTTTTTTCTTTCAGGTACCGAATAGAGTACGAGACTCTGTGTAAAATTGAAGCAGACCAGAACGAATTCATTGACCAATTCATTTTTCAGAAATAGAGGATTTTAAGATAAAAATGAACTAGTTTGGAAACTTGACCATTCCAGAATCTTGAGAATTTCAAAAATATGCAATTTTTCACTGTGTATGACTGAAGAGATGGTTTGTACAAAGGGAAGTGTCTTTTAATTCAGTGTGAGTTACACTAAAAGTGGCAATAAGGAGGGCTTTCTAACAGACGTAAAGACTGTTCTGTCCTTTGATTTTATAGAAGTTTTGTACAGCCAGTAGTTCTAATTCAAATTATAGTTGGATTAATACTACTGTTGCTATGTTATGTCTCTCACTTTTTGAAGTGTACAGCTCTTTCAAAGAAATCGGGAAATAAATTATTGTTTTCAGACTTTCTGGATATACCTGAATTAGTTGCTTCTGCTATGTTATTTTTGAGCTTAAGAGTTTACAGCTCCCTGGCTAGCCATAATGATTTTCCTATATGTAATATTTTTCATGTCTGTAAAGACGCAACACAGAAGCAGCAGTAACTCTTATCTATATTGACCAGGTTATTTTTTCTATAGAGTTAGGAAAAAACCACCAGAAATTTATGATTAATTAGGATCAATTACAGACACACAAAAAAGCAGCAAATAACGGCAGAATTAAGAACTTTAAACCATGCCCAAGGTGTGTCCACACAGGTAGTAATACGAGAGTAGAATTCTTTTGTGTGCGTTATTAGTGATAGAACCGCAAACTGATGCGACAGGCCATTCTGAGCGTACGGTGACACCAGGAGTACGTATAAACTATGAATACGAATGTGACATTTAAAAACCCAATGCCTGCGATCTAGAAACAAGCCTCATCTTGAAGTGCAAACAGATCCATTTTATGTCTGTCTTTAGGCAACCAAATACAGAAATGTCGACCTTGTCAAAGCCTGCGGAAGGCTTAAATTTTACAGCAGTGAAGTCCTGAGGTATATAGGCGGTGACTGAAAAGCCTTCTCGGTGACCTGTAATTTTACACAAGTCTCCAAGTTTGATTCTTGCAGATCAGATTGAGAACTTAAAAAGACAAACCAAAACTAAAAACCCAACAACAACCAAAAAAGCCAACCCAGAATTTCTATCAGTAGTAGGTTTTATTTACTGTAACTTCAAAGTCTAATGCATATATTTACTGCGTTTACTATCTACGATCTCATGGTCATTTAAAGTTCCTTTTAGTCATTCCCTTAAGAAGATTAAATGCAGTTTGGATGCGTTTAGTTATTTATTTCCATACTAGAAGTGATTTCATGGACGAGAGAAATCTACAAATCCTTGTTTACAATTCCTGAAGTACTTCAGTGTCCCCTAGGAAGAAGTATGCCTCGTTGTCAAACAAGGGTCACTTTTAAGCATTCAGAAATCCAGTTTTTGGCACATTTATCACTGATCAGACATTTACAATTAATCAAAATTGAAGCAAAGCAAAGGAAGGGGTGAGGAAGTTAAGAATTATTACATGATTTGAAATGCTTCAGAAGCATAGCTTTGCAAATCCGTATATAATCAGTTAGGGATTTTGCAGAATATGCTCTTGGAAGACAAAGTTCTCACTTAAGTGGTTTTCTAACACTCATCTTGGAAAAAGGGAACTTAAAAGAAAAGTATCAGCTGTAGTGTCCACCTCTCCCCCATCACAGCTACACATCAAATGGTTATTTATTTCCCTATCACGGACGTACCGCACAAAACTGACAGTGGGAGAGGAGAGCGGTCCCTTCACCTGCGTGCGCCCAGAAACCGCACGAAATTGCTAATACAGGCGTCTGCCAAAGCTATTTCTGATTAAAGGAGAGCTGTGAACTCAAACCAGTTCAAATTTTCCTTGCAGGAGCCAGCTGCTCTGGTAATAGCTGTTGCAGCCAACAACACGAGACGGATGTTTGTCCCAGAGGACTACGTCAGCGCAGGGTCTGAATCAAAACCAGTACGAGTGTTGTGCTTAGAACTGCTACAGTGGGCTACTTCCTTTTCCTTTTCTCCACGTGGTTATAATGGGGGTTGTAGAGCATGGTAAAAAGAATCAGAAGAGGTATCAGCAAGTATGGCGCATATATAGAGAGCAGAATTAGGCGTTCACGTTGTGTCCGAGGTCCCAAATGCTCAGACTTCGAGAAATCGTGGAACAGGATATGCGCAAGGATAGCAAACAAAGTTGTAGCTACGTGGGTGGAGTAGATAATTGCAGGAGTCCTTATCCATTTGCAGCCACCTGTACAGAAGCAAAAAGGAAAGAATACTGAAGTGTTTTGAAACAAGCAGAATTCAGTGGCGTTTAAATTAACAGAACGTTAACTGCTCTCTCTCTGACAGAATGAGCCATAAGTCATATTACATAGGTAGCAGAAAAAACCAGGTACTAGTAGCAACCCAGGAAAATTACCTACCTTTATGGACATCTGGAATGACGGCGTGATTGTGAAAGTTTTAAAGTAACAAAACGTGTACACGGACTTGACCCAGAACTTTATCTACCTTGGAAGCGTGCCAGATGTCAAAACTTGATGCTGGTTACGTACAAATGGCTGCAGCGGAAAAGGGCCTGCGGCCGCGGGTTTTGTTTCCAACAAGCCTTATTCTATGCTGCTTTCACAGGTAAAGCTTGCCATGAAAATAGCACAGCACAGCACTCCACTCCATGCGGTACGTCCCTATAATTGCTTGAGACTGCTAAATAAACCTTCTCTGCCGTACAGAAAGCAAGTGTTACGCAGAAATGCCGCACAGGACATATTCTTACACTTGTTTCATACCAACCTTTTAAGAAGGCGTATACTGCGATGGGGAAGAAAGGCATTTGTAAGAAGGCTTCGCAATATATAAACGCCTTAAACCACTCTGGGGGCTGGAGCATCATGGGGTCTCTAAAGGTGGCTGCGTACCACTGTAACAACTCTGCCAGCTTAAGAAAAAGAACGAAACAACAGATTAATACACTGAACATCAACCACAACGGGGGAAGAACTGCGACCCTCATCTGGCGGTCAGATGAAGCCATCACTGCAGTGGGAAAATCAAGTGATCTCACCTTGGTACACAAGGCTTCATCCTGCAATTCAGTTTTAATAGGGACTACACTTCTGAAGTCTTTAAAGTGATGAACCCTTTCCGTTAAGTATATACTAAATTTGCACCACAGGCAATTTTAGGGTTACTACAGCACTAAGTGCAGTTGCTTTCCAAAAACTATTTCTGAAATGTCGTTTCTTACCAGAAAAAATCCAAATGACAAAAGATCTGCACCTTGACGTTAGTAGATATTGAAGAACTCTCCTATTTCCCTCTTTCTGACCCTCCTATTGCCAGCTGAGGTGGGCTCAAGCTTGCAAATACCTTTCGGCACTCGCCGTGCCTAACCAGGAGGTGTGAGCCCAGCCAGGTCTCACCACGCCGAGAGGAGTCTGGGGCCTCATTCGGTGGGGGAGCGCACCGTTCCACCACCACGCACGTGGCTGGCTGCTGCTGCTCGAGCAGCTTGATGTACGAATGTCGGCTCAGCGAGCTGCAATTAGTTTTCATGACAGAAATGTAAATTCCAGCATGGCTTTAAGGTGGACTTTGAACGGAGAGATAGGTATTGAGATTTGCTAGTTAACTATTAATTAAAAATGGTTTCTATAATGGAGTAACTACAGGCAATTCTAATGGCAAAAATCAAATTCACTAATTGTGCAGCTTGGATAGGAAGTTATGGCTGATCTCATCCTGATGACAAGAGTCGAACTGATTATCTTCTATCCAACTATTACTTTAATTGACTTTATTGTGTTTATTGTCTTCTGTAAGTTTATTCGAGACCCAGCAAACCAGAGATTTTTACTAATAAATTTGGTTGCTAGTACGCCTGTTTCTGCAGCGGTAACAATTCACTTTAACGTTTTTGGCAGGAGTACGAGCGAAGATCAGGATGACGGCGCGACCAAGGCGATGACAGCCACATCCAGGGGGCACGCGGCATCGTGCTCGGCGCTGCCAGCATCTTTAGGGCGTTCACGCCGTACGTGACGGGCAGGGCAGCAGGTACGCTCCCACGCAAACTGTTTTTATCGTGCCCGTTTGCTTTCCTCTACCTGCAGAAGGCACAGCGTGCCATACCGGGGAAATTACGGCCCACCGCCAGTTTGTCAGGGACTGTTCTTGCGTGCCCGTGGCTGGGGGCGTTTAAACCGAAAGGAGCAGCCCGCACACATCCCAGTTACAAATTTAGGAAAAAAATCGGTCACGGCTGCCAAACGTGCTGGGAAACAATCACATTTATTGTCCTTCCCAAACGAATGGCTTGGCTAAAAATACAAGTCATCGCGTAGGTAGCAAGTATTGAGTTATTTTCGAATACTATTTCATTTTAGGAAATTCGCTGCGTTTTTCTTCCTCCCCCCTTACGTCTCTG